GGCGCCCGGCGGGAGGTCTCGCCTGCGTAGCTTGTATTTTCTGGCTTCGAAAGGAGATGGTTTTGAGAGTGAGGCCGTTTCTGGGGGAAAAAAAACCCAAAACAAAGCAAATTTGGGAGCTGCGGGGTGCAGAGTCCTGTGCAGAGTGGTGGGACCAGCCCCCGGGGCGTAGGACCCGGGGCTGCTGGGCAGAGCCCTCTGAGCGAGCACAGCTCTCTTGCTCTTCGGAGATTTCCATTTTGTTTTCCAGTTTTTGTCTTCTCTCTGCCGATGCTATCGGCTCTGCGCAAAAGACCTTCAAAATGCTTTTGGAAACGGAACGAGCTTTCAGCGTCGAAGCAGCAGCAGGAGAGCGGGGTGGAAATTCCAGCGCTGCAAAGTGCCCGCTCCTCCTTTCTTCTTTCCTGAGGCTCGGAGATACAAAACAGGCTTAATTTGAGCCTTTGAAAAAAATATCAATCATAAGTAATCTGGCCCAAAAAAAAAAAATCTGTCTGTATGTTAATTTTTATGCGCTTTGATTGAAAATGTACACGAGCTCCATCTGTCCTATTCCCCAAACTCCCTACCGCACTGATAGATTATTTCCCGTACTCCAATTAATAAAGTAGGGCAGGCAGTGTTCTTTAATTAAAAAAAAACCACACATTCAGGCATCCTTTTTTTTTTTTTTTTTTAATCACAAGAGCACAATCCTCTGCAAGACTTTGATGAGCTCTGCCACCCGTTCGCATCCCCTAACAGAGAAGGGAAAAGCGCTTGATCCGAGGGCGCCCCGAGCCGAGCGTGCTGCGCTCCGCCGCCTGCTTGCTGTCTGAAGTCCGGGCCCTCGGGCCTTCTCCATCCCTCCGTCCCCCTATTTAACCCGCGCGAGGGCAGTCGGATTGTTTGTCCTTCTTATCCGCGTTCCTTTTATCCGGGATGAGTATTTCTCTTTAGTGCTAAGGTGACGGATTACTGTTCTTAGTCCGAGGGTGGAAAAATCAAACGGCCAGTGTAAATAGTGGTGTAGCTTCAAGGCCGCCTTCTCCACGCGCCGAGCGCTCGTCCTCGGCCGTTCAGACCACCCGTTTCTGTGCCTTTCCTTCTGCTTTTCTCGGCCGCGCGCGGGCGCCGCGTCTTTGCCCGCCTCGGAGGGCAGCGGCCCGGTGGCGTCAGAGTCCCTTTGCTCC